CTAGATGCTGCTGTTTTAGCTAAAACAGTGCTACTGCTACCTTGTTTTCAAGGGACGGCCACAGAATTTCTTCTCCACTACAAGTATTCCAGCCCTACCATACACACCCCCTTCAACACAACTGTAATTTTTATTCCTTTCAGTGATGTAAAAGTATCATTTTTACACACCCATTTAGTGGCATAGCAAACATAATTGAGCAGGAACGATGCGCTTTGATGTTGCCGCTGTTCAACATGAGTTTTATTTGCACCTCCTATCATGAAATAACTGGCCTTGTCATCTGTGTTATCCCACATCTTTGACTCAATACAAATCATGTAACTTAAAGCTAATTCGAAAAAATCAAAACTCAAGAGGAGTAAGCTGTATTGTGTCACCCCAGCTCTGTTTGGGGGTTTCACTGAGAAGGCCACAGCACAGCATCTATTTTTATTTCTTCCTTTCTTTTTCTTTCATAAGGTTGCAAAACTGGAACATACTAGTTCACTAGTATTCAAATACACAATGCCCTTATCATACTGGCATCTGGGAGCATAGCATGCCAAATGCCTTGCTGACTCTGCTTCAAAGCTCTTTTAAGTCAATCGCTCATTAGCAGAGTGATGTGTAGGTCCCCTGTCACGCAGGTTGCAGGGCTCAATCCCCAATGGAGAGGAATTCAAGGCTTTTTGGTGAAAGCACTTGAGCTAGACAGAGTGCAGAGAAATACAGCATGGATGATCTTGTCTTGAACTGGAAAAATGATTAGATGATCTCATAGGTCATTGTCATATGAAGTCGGCAGTTCACAGCCAGTTTTCAACCATGAGAGGAGAAAGCTCTCTGGGGCTCCCTGTAATGTGAAAGTGTGCTCCACATTTGTCAGGGCCAGTAGGGCACCTGCTAAGCCATCAGCTTCCCCTTTACATAATCTGCAGGTTGATACTTTCCCATGTAAGGCCATGTCATTGGCTATGAATGAGAAATACACAAAACAGGCTAGAGGAGGTGGGGTGGCAAAAGGAAAGAATAAAATATACCTGTGCTCTCTTCCAGTTCTGCAGCCTCTAACTTACTCCTTGGTGCCTGGACTAAACCCAAGCAGCCCTGCAAGCTTCTTCTGGCAGCTGCCAGCAGCATCAGGGAATCAAAATGGTGGCTGGAGGTCAGCGCAAAATTTGACCTTTCTAGTTGAGCCTTCTCTCCTTAGTTCACACTCAGCAGATGGAGGAGACTGATGGCAAATAGGTCTCAACTTCCAACCCGCATAAAAATCCTTTCATACTGCAGTGACCATCTTTCAGATGGTTTTGTTGGCTTTAGAGCTCAACTTCACACTCAGCTGGTGCCATAAGGGTGCTATACAAGCTGTAGCCAGTTCCCAGTTGTCTATGATTAAATGATCAATGACTGCACATTGCTCATCTTAATTTATATGTCTTTTGCCCTGGGCTGAGGTTGGCTTTCGCAAATGGATATGAATAACTACCTTGTGACAATAACCGGTTGCTAATACATCAGAGAACCAAAATAGAAATGAAGCTTCTAGCAGTGATGATACACAGCCTTTCTTCTTGAAAAAGACAGGCAAACATATTCTTGCTGAACATTTCTATTAGCTAAACAGGAATGCATCTATAAAAAAAAAGTATGGTTTAATGCCATGTACAACACTAGATATAGTTTTCCTGCATCCTGAGGAAGCCCCCACCAGAAAGTTGCTTTTTGAAAAAAAAGAAGAGAACCTCTCAAGTCAAACTCTAGGAATAAGCTATATTTCTTCTAATTAAGGAAGGTGTGTTAGTACTCACCTGCCAGCAAGAAGAGGAGGAATGAAGACACTGCAGACCTACAGAGCTTCCCTATGTGCTGGCTCATAGCTGCTGAAGTATATGGCCTCACTGTCTCTCCCTCTGGTAGTATGGGCAAAAAAATATGTGTGTGTTATTGCAACAGGACCTCGCATTCTGCCCAGTGAATGTCACACTTGCTAAAGTTACCACAGCTTTGAGCTCACAGTGCTCTGCCTGCTGGCTGGATGACAGCCACATTTGAAGTGACAACAATGAGTTCCCGGGGGCTGTTCTGATCTCTCCCAGAGAAGATGCCGAAAATGCTCTGAGAGCAGAGGGAAGATAATCTGTTGTTTTTCGCTTTGGCCTTGTACAAATCAGAACATTGGGCTGAGTACAGAATATCCAGATACTTAAAGGAAACCTCTCTTGTGCTGAACCCCTCCCTAGTGGAGGTGAGAAGAGAAAGCATTGCCTTGATTTTCTGAGCAGCCCGACTCCTATCATCCTAATTGACCATGAAAGAAAGTTCGAGGAATTCAGTATCTTTGTGGCTATATGCCCACTGTGTTTATTGGTAAAATGTATTCCCCAAACGACCTTTTTTTTCCAGTGCAGAATAAATCCTTTTGCACCAAAAGCTGATTACTTAAACTCCATTTAAGTAAAGCTCATCTATGCCACCAGGGTGAAGGGGAAAACTGCTAAAGAGGGTAGACTACCTGCAAAACTATCAGGTGCGCTCCAGAACAGAAAATGTGGGTTTACACAAAGGTGCATACACAGCACTGCTTTGTGGGAAGAGCTCCGGCGGCCCCAAAACCTCACCTGTAGCATCCAGCCCTGCCAGCAGTGCTATTGCTCTACCGAGCACGTGCCATTCTCGCTGGCTGGCTGGCTCCTTTTCCCTCGGGTATGGGTTTAGGGATTACAGCACACCTTTCCAGAGGCCTGCTGGTTTTATCCAATGATTTTGCTTATCTTTAGGACTCTTCAGGTAACTGAGCTGTACTTGAGTATCCAGTAGAGACTCAATTCCACATCCGTTAAAACACAAAGCAAATTCAGCTGAGAAGCATGAGTATTTCTGCTTTTCTTCATATTTGAAAGCAAAAAAGCCCCCATCACACCATGAGGAAATCTGTCATCATGCTACTGTCATATGGCTTTCCTGAATACACTTTTAATAACTTATGTGATCTGCAACTTTGGATGTGGATGCTCCACAATAACTGCTTCAAGAAATTCCACATCTGACTTACAAAACTGCTGACCAAACAACATTTCTTGGACCACTTGTGGCTCTAGCTTTGGTGTGGAGTCACCTGTATCAGCAAAAACACAATAGGCTAAAGGAACCTAAAAGGCAAATATTTCTTCTCTGAAATGGGTTGAGAGTGTGGGAAGGTCTGAGATTACAAGGAAAGAATTACTCTGACGTAAATTATATATTACGAAAGGAACTGGGACCAAGTGCGGAACAAGATAGCACTTCAGCAGAAAGCTGGAAGGTAGATTGTGAGGGTCTTCTGAAGGAAGTACTGCCATTGCATTACTGAACAAACCCAAAATATCTATGAAAATAAGAAGACAGAGGAGTCAAAAACAATCGAGTTTGAGAAAGGAATAACCAGTGAAGTCAAAGGCACCTGGCAGATCAAGAGGAACTGGGACTGAGTTACTGGCATAGAGCACTGGCCGTGACTCTGTGTCAGTGAAGTCAGTGTGGGAAGATGGAGCTGGACCAAAGGCATTCCAAACAGTGTTTGATTTAAACCCAAATATTTAGTGTGCTTCTAAAAAAAACTTCAAGTGCGTTGTGATGGACAAACTACCATTGTTTCCGCAAATGCTGCTTACGTTAATTTTATCCTGTAATAGCAATTCTCTTGTGAATCTTCCATGAAATAGGAGATGCCTGAGCAGAACTGTTAGATCAGACAGATTTTAACTGAGGGAACACAACGGCATTTTAGTGTTGCTGGCAACCATCACTTGAACGTGAAGCTTCTCCTGCTTGGGTAACCCAGTATGATCCAAATCGAATCTCCACTTTTGGACAAAATTAAAAGTAAACTGGTCCTGAGTGTTGTTGAGAAAAGCCTGAAAAATTTCAGTTTCAAAGGTCCAGATCAAGAATGCAAGCAACAAAAATGAAATAAAACACACATTCTTTTTTACACTTTCTTGTAAATTTTGGAGACTCGCAGTTGGTGGCGTCAAGGCTGTCCTGTCTGGGCCGACAGATGGGAGGGGATGTCAGCCACAGGGACTTCTAGCACCTTTCTCAATGTATCAGCGGGCAGGTATCGCAGGGCCCAGAGATGTCCCTTCAGCGAGAGCCTCAACCTGCTTTCTGGGGAAGTGGTGAGAGAAAAGGGACAGCGAGAAGAAACAGCACTGCAATGCCAGGCTGCTTTTACTCCTCCTTCCCTTGGCCATCCATCCATCCATCCATCCATCCATCCATCCATCCATCCATCCATCCATCCATCCATCCATCCATCCATCCATCCATCCATCCATCCATCCCTCCCATTTTCATCATCCACCAGCCAGCCACCCAGCAAGGTGGTGATTTCTTTTCACGTCATGGGGCTTTTCTTTTTCCGGCAAGGCGATATGGAGGCATAGATCTGCAAGCCGCCACCGCTCTGGCTGCGTCCCGATTTGAGGTGCTGCCTCACTCGCAGCCCAGCTTTTCAAACCCCTGGGCTCTTCACAGCTCGGGCAGAAACCCCTTGGCGCTGCTCCGCAGCTCGAAAACCGACAGCCCGCCTTACCCCTGAGATGGGGCCCCCCACCCCGGACTTCCCTTCTTTCACCTCACCCCCCCCGCCCCGCAGCAGGGCACAGAGGGGCCTCCGCCCGCTCCCCTGCAAACACCGGCGGGGCAGGCCGGCACGTTCCCCTCCGTGCCCGCCGTGGAACGGCCCCTCGGAGCGCGGCCGCTGGTGGCGGCGGGCGGGCTCCCCTTCCCCGCTCTCCCCCCCCCCAGGTGTCCCCCTGGAGCGGCCTCTCGGCGGCATTTTCCGTTGAACCTCAACCACCACCCCGCCCCCCCCCCCCGCCGTCAGGTTTAGGAACCGCGTCTGCAGCCCGGGCGCTGTTTGACCGACTGCCGGGGCTGACGGCGACGGGAGGCTTCCCCTCAGGAGGGAGGCAGCTAACGCCGCCCGTCCCGCCCTCCCTCCCTCCCCCCCCCCCCCCCCCCCCCAACTCCCCGCAGCCAGGAGTTTTTCCTGCTACAGTCCTCAAACTTTCCACCGGCTCTGACGCTTCGTAATTAACCCTTCTGGAAGCTGCCGAGGCGTTTCAGGAGCTGGCCGGGTTGTGCGGGAGCGGTGGAAATCGAGAGGACCCGCGGCCCCTCTCCCGCCACCCCTCCGACCGCTTCCCCTCCTCAGGAGCGGCGCCGCTCGCCCTTGGCAACCACCTCCCGCCTCGGGTCCGCGGCCCGGCCGGCGCCGGCCCCTTTAAATGGCGGCCGCGGCGCCGCCGTGCGTCCCGCTGAGGCAGCTGGCGGGCGCCGCGCCGCCCTCGCCCCCCTCCATGGTAAGAGCCGCGGCCGCCGCCTGCGCCCTCCCCGCCGGCGGGCTCCATGCCCCCGGCCGCTGCCCCGCCGCCGCGCTGCCCCCCCCCGGGCGACCCGTCTGCCGGCGGCGGGCTGCGCAGGTAGGTGTGCGTGGGGGTGTGCGTGGGGGGGAGCCCCGCTGCTTCCCACCCCCCCCCCCCCCGGCCTCTCTCCCAGGGGACGGGACGGGCGGAGCTGCCCCGCAGGCCTGGCGGCACCGCCCGGGGGTGCGGGGCCGCCGCCACCCATCTCCCCGAAAGTTTTTTTGGGGTGAGGCGAGTAGGGCCGGGGGCGGCCTTCCGGGCCCGCGAAGCGCCGGCGTCGTGGGCCCCCGGCGAGGAGGGGCGGGGGAGGGCGCCGCGGGGGAGGGCGCGGGCTGTGGGGTGCCGAGGGCAGCGTGAGGCGGCGGCGGCGAGCTCCGGGGAGGCCGTGGGTCGGGAGCGGCGCTCCCGGGGCATTAACGGGTCTGCCCGCTGCGTGGGAAGCCGGGGTGGCCCCTGGCAACTGGTGGAAGTTGCAGCGAGCCGGGGTGTTCGCGTGGATAAACCGCCGGGGAGCAGCCCTGCTCTCACGCCGCGGAGCCTGGCGTGCCCTTGCTCTCTGCCTCACCCCCTTGCCCTCTTCCCGGGCGAACCCCCAGCCTGGGCCGCGGGCTTGGCCGGAGCCTCGGGGGAGCGCGGGCCCGCTGGCGGGCTGCCCGCAGCCCTGCTCAGACACGGGCCAGCGTGCGTGTGCCAACATCGGTTTGGTTCCGAGTCGTTTTGATCTTGAAACCCAGCTTCCCCTCTTGATGGATCCAGTAATGCAGGCGGTGTTACTGGTTAGGGCCCTGGACTGGGTTTGTACCAGTTTGCTAGGTGGCTTGGGACAAGCGTCTTTCTGCAGCTCAGTTTCCCTTCATAAAGTCAAACTGATCTCTCGAGTGAAGAATACTGATATCCAGGGAGAGTGCTGCAGAAGAGTGCTTATCTTTAAGTGATAGGAGTAGAACTACTTGCCTCTGAAGTGTTGTGCTTGTGTTTATAGATGACAAAATATACAGTTTATAGTGTAACTAATGTTGAGTATAAATATTTGGTGTATTTGTATTATATATGTCAGTCCTCTGGTAAATGGTACGCCTGCATGACCTTTGTCAAGTTTTGAAAGGTCCCACGGATTCTAGAGATGTGCTGCACATTAGGCACTGATTTCTCATGTTGATGTTATTCCAGCTCTAAATGTCTGTGCAGCTTCAGCGTGCAAGTTAAGGGTCTGCTGTGGAAATAAAATACTCTGATAAAAATGTAAGTAATAATTAAATATGGTGTGCTCTGGAAAAAAACGTAGAATCAATGAAAAGGCTGTTAGTGGGAAGTGTTTCCATGCCACTCACCTTGGTGAAACTAGCATGTCAAGTTTCATTTAATATAGTTGTTAAATGGATTAACCAACTTCTTACTTCACTTTTCTCCTCCATTGTTGAATTACATACCTTGCTTCTTTGTTCACAGGAAGTTCATGAAGTGGATCATGGTCTTATTAGCCAGCTACTTGCTGATTCAGAGGAGACTCTCAGTCCGTGCACAGAGAAAATGCAAGGTCCTGCTCAGTACAGCTGGAGTGCTGACTGGAGCTTTTGGGTAATGTGTTTTGTCTTTCTTCTAACTTGTGTTTTATTTAAAAATATAGTATATGTATATTTTAATTTATATATGTGTGTGTGTATGTACTAGCTTTATATCCACAGTTCTCAAGTTGCTTTGTAGTCATGAATTAGTAAAGTATTCTCCACCCATGTAGTGAGGTAGGTAATTTTATCATTATCAGCTTACTAAAGTGTAAGCTGAGACTGAGAGGGGGTGAAGTTGTTTACCTGATGTCACGTATCAAGTTAGTGACAGGACTCCTGGTTTCTGTGCCCGGTTCTGTCTCCCAGTTCCTTGTATGGTTTCTTAACCCATCCAATGTCTCTTTATGCCTTTGGAAGATGTTCTTGTTGCTTTTTAACAATAAGGGATGAATTTTGATTCTCAATGTTGGGTGGTTCTTCTCATGTTCTTTCCTAGTGTCTGTTTTTGTCAAGTAAACACATCTGTTTTCCACAAGAGTAAATAAGCTTTCTGTGGAAGGAAAGAGGTTTGTGAATAAAAAGGGCAGAATGGAGCGGTTTAATTTTTGCTCCTCTACAGGGAGATGCTTCACCAAAAGCAGAGGGTGTAAATGCTGTCTTTAATACTCTTCTAATACTTTTGGTGGATGGCTTCTTTTTCTTTTTTTTTCTTCTCTCCCCAATGCCATGACAGAAAGTAAACTTACAGGTGTAGACTCGGAGTGTATGTTTTGCAGTTAGTTTGGTGGATAAGTTCCAGCTGTTAGGTAGGGAAGGGGAACACTTGTGCATGCAGATACAGGCAGGGTAACACCTAATCTCGTGAGAGACTTAGGTTCCCTTCCGCACAGCTCTGACAGTCTGACTCAGGTTCTGCATCAGGTGGCCTCAGTAAATTGGTGTGCTTCAGCTTGTGCATAGGAACATCATCTGGACTACCATGTCCTGGTCCTGATGAGGTTATCAGAGTGTTCATTGTGCTCAGCAGGTGAAAGATGAAGTATCCAGCAAAGGCCGCAGGGAATCTGTGGCAGATCTCTGAGCAGAACTGGGGGATCTGATTTCCCAACTCCTTATTTATAAATATCTAGCTTGTATGTCTTTTCATCCCGCCTGTTCAAACTAAGCGGATGTCCTTAATGGTTAGAACACTGATTTTGCATCTCGGGCCGTAGCATAAACTTCCCTCAGAATGCAAGTGTACTTTTAAATTGAGCAATGGTAGTCTGGAGCCAATGGAGGTGGGACAGGCCGATGAATCCCAGCAGCTTGTAGAAATGTGTTGCTAGAGAGCGAGTACTTGGGTCATTCAATGCTTTCTCTACTGTTCCTAGAGCAACAAAAGTGATACAGGGCCATTCTGCCTGTGCCCAGCAGTATCCCTGTAGTTGAATTGATAGCAAATCATGCTGCTCAGACATTGTAACTGCCAGCTGTGCTCTCATTAGATGGCAAATTAGATTGTGTAAACTAACTCTTGATGGTTTGTATACAATTGTTAATGCAGTTGGTAGTTTATTCGAGGAAGAAACCTGTTTAGGTCTTGGGGCCAGTTTGTTGGACTTGCAACTTGCAACTCCGTCTTTCCTTGATAAGCTTGGCAATCTAAAATTAGGTCAGTAAAGTATAATACAAGAAGAATATAACTCTGCTATTGGCTTTGCATTTTTGGCTTTGAGACACATGACGGAGGTTAGAAGTTTGTTTGAACAGAGCTTTAGGCATGTAGGGTGCCAGGGTATTGTTTGTCCTCACAGTGCCACTCTGCTTCCTGTAGTAATGCCTGCCTGAAACTTCAGGGGGGTGGGATTCTTCAGTGCAGTGGTGGCTGCTAAGTGTGAGGTGTTGTCCGGTGTGATTAAACGATTTCCTTCAGTCTATGATTTATACTTCAAGACCTCAGTATTTGTTTGAAGTTCGTGTTTGTCTGGTTCTGCAAATATGACCTTGCAGTTAAAACAAAGGAATTGTGTAAATACTTGCCTCTTGTAAGATAGTGCTGTGGCTTGTAAAGTTTTAGCCGTACCGTTTGTCACTGGTTAGTTTTAAAAACCTCTATCAATCCAGTTATAGGAGTTGGTGGTACTCATTTTCTCAGCCTCAAGGAGACTGAACTTAAAAGTAGCAAGAGCAGAAAGTCACAAACTCTAGGCAAAAATTAAGATCTAATTAAAATTAAAATTATGTCGTTGGCGTCTTTCCCTGATCTTTTAGACAGAAAATGTGTTTTAACAACTTCCATGGTTGCTGATCAGCTGCTGACTATATAAACAGATCATTAAAACACCCTAAATACTGAGTCATAGTAAAAGCATAGGTGATAATGCAGAAGGTAGTTTGTTGCAGTGTGCAAAGCATGTGTCACTAACATTTGACAAAGGATGATCTTGGTGTCCTGTGGCAGGCGTGGATCTGTTATGTTCATTCTTAAGTCTGTAGAACTGAGGAATTGCTACAACAAGACTAGCCTGTGGTAGCATCCAGGGGTCGGCTTTGTTCCCTGGGTTATTTGCTTTGAGAGGCTGCATCTTTCTGATGACTTTGGTTTGCTCCAATGATTTATTTTTTCTAAGTATGTACACTTGCTTCTCTGATGGAAACCAAATGTGGATGTTACAGACTGACTGGTTTGACTTCAATTTTTCATGGATTTGAGTGGGAGTAGGCAGTTGTGCCATGCCTCTGGAAGCCAGGCCAGGTATCATGAATGCTCAATGGGTGTTGTGAGCACATCTAATTAGCAGCAAGCTGGGGTTGGGAGCCTCTGGGATATAATCTCTTTCCTGGCCATGGTGAGTGGGGAGAAGGAAGGGTAGCAGAAGAATTACCAGGGAAGGAAGAAAAGAGAATCCTATTATGCATAATTTTTCCCCACTCTAAAAAAATAATACTTTGGATAGCTTTATTGAAAAATATAGAGAAATAATTCATCTTCTATACTACTGTAAGCAATTCTTAAACTGGTAGTGTTATTAACTGCTGTTTTTAATGTGGGTGTTTTTTTGTTGTTTGTGTGTGGGGTTTTTTTTTTTTTTTTTTGAAGACCATTCCTTGGAGGTGGACAAAACTAGACTTTTAAAATCTCACTGAGGAATTAAAAGGCTTGCTTACAAACTTAATCTCAGGGCTTTCCCTCTTTGCTGGAACCTGTAAAGCTCTCATCTACTTTTGATTAAATGGTTCCAGTATTGGCAACTGCAAATAGAAGCAATGAAAGTCAAAGATGCTTTGGAAATTGTTACATCTGGAAGCCCTGTCTCAAGATTTTGAACTCACTTTTTATGCTTTTTATACTCTTCATACTGAAATATAATTCAATTTAATATCCTCGGAAGAAGAAACCCGCAAAATCTTTAAGTGTTCTCCTATTGTAATGAAGAAGGTAGAGGTGAATGAGGAAGCTAATGGAAAGGATCCTTGCATCAAAAGTGAGGGTTTTCTGTCTGGAGACTGTAGTTTCTGTTAATAAGCACTCAAAGAAAGTTCATATATGTCTACAATAAGAAGAATGCCTGTGGAAAGAAAGAACAAAAAAGTAAGTCCTTCCCTTGCAATGAAAAGGTAGGTGGAAAGAGTTGAAATCAAATGAGCATCTCAGAAAATTGCTATTATCTGGGAGGCTTGTTTAAGAATTTGGAATTGTGAGGTGCCACGGAGGTGTTGGAAAGAAAATAATAGAAAAGGCTTTAAAAAAAGCCAATTTGACTGCAATGTAATGTCAGTTTAAAGAATTGGTCAGTGTGAAGGAGTATGACAATGGAAGCAAACAAGTGATACAGTGAAAGTTGAAAATAAGGCTTTTATTTTTCATAATAGTAAAACAAATGAGGTTGCACAAGATTTAGAAAAGCATTTTGAATTTTTACAAACATGGATTTGGCTTCTATGAGAGAGATCTAGTCTGTGGGAGCGTGTGAAAATATGTATGCCAAGAATATGATAAACATAAATGAGTCAAACCTGCACAAGAGGGATGTAGATACACATTACAGTTTGAAAGATCACTTATTGCAGCACAGATACAAGTTTACATGCTTCAGAGCCCAAGACTCGTAAGGGTTATATGAAATTTCTTGCATCTGTAGTTGTTTGAATGCTTCGTCCACCTCTATCTGAAGACTCAATATTCACTCTGGAAATGGTTTACTGAGCTTGTTAAATTGGTTCCTATGTTTTGGCAGGCTGGTATTTAAGGCCCTCAAACAGTTGCTTCATCTCCTCTGCTGTTCATACTTGATATGTTACTTCCTCTGAAGAAAGCTTTTCTTTTCCTCTGTGCCTCTAAATGTTTGGGTTGTAAAGGAGAGATGTCATGGCTTGTGATGTTGGAGGAGGATTTTTAGCCTCCTTCTTATTTGCTGGTATAAAGCAGTCTGCTAAGGAGGATGAGAATTGGATAAATACTGTAGGTGTCCAGAAGGAATAAACTTAAGCACACTCACACTGGTGTTCTGTTTTGTTTTTTTTTCTGGAATGTCATATCTTTAGTCTAGATAGTTTTTGCTGTACTTGTAGCACTGGTATGTTGTTTGTTTACCTATCTGGAATCTCTAGAATAGGTGCCTTTTTTAGCCCTGTGATAACACTGAGTATACAGAAGCAGCGTTTTAAAATGGTGAGAAAAGATGAGCTGTGTAGTTCTGACTAGCCCTTGAACATGGCTGATTAGGCTAAAGTGTTTTTCTCACTTTTCACCCTGGGAATCTCTTCATTGCTGTTGATGCAGCTCCAAATTGAGCATTGGGGTAGACCTGACTGCCATCAAGTTTCAGCCTGTTCTGAACAACTGGCAGCTGGTGTCCTGTCTAAATAAGCTTTCCTCAGCTGCAGCAGTAGGAAGTTCTGTATAATATGAATCATTATTACACACATCTAAAGAATTAGTCTAGAACCTGAAGGTTAAGTTTAATAGATCAGGAAGAAAATACTTCAGATTCATGTGATTTTTCTTTTCTTTTTTTTTTTTTTTTTTTTTTTTCTTTAAAGTCACTGGGAGCAAAACCATTAGAAATGCAATGTAGTTCAGAAAAT